TCATAATTATTTTTTTTTTTAAATGCATACTCATAAACACATATCTTTTTGTGAGGCAGCTTTAACCATCCAACATGTTGATTAATCATAATTAGTTTAGGAAAATGTTACTGTGCTCCGTTACAGAATTATTCCGTCGGGATTTGTAACTGTTAGATCATCATGTAACCGTCGAGAATAGATGATCTAACGGTTACAAACTCCAACGGAATGGTTCCGTAACGAAACTGTAACATCTCCCGTTAGTTTATTTCTTATAAAGAAAAACAAGCATAGTTACACTAAAATGTCAAAACAAGATTGTGTAACCTTAGGACATGTCTAAGTGCATCCTTAAATCCTTATGATCAATAAATAGCATGATTTTTTTTTTTATTATTATTTTTTCATTTTTTATGCATAGGTTCCCACTTTCTTACTTTACAAGAGTGCCTGATATCCAAATTTCAAATTTAGTAGAATAGCAAATTGGAATAGCCAACACTCAAAGCTTTTTAGTATGTTCCATAAAGATAATTTAAGCAGAAAAATAAAAATCTTGGCACATACATTCCACAAACCACAACATGCATAAACTCCTGTCACAAAATTTAGAACCAAACTTTCAAGAAACTCAAATCATCAAAGCTAACATCAATATACAATTCCTAAACACTGTCACATGAAAAAACTTGCCCAAAATCCCTTTCATCTTAAATTGTACAGAATAAAGGAAACAGCAGAAGAAAAAGGATGCACAACAAAATATCTCCTCCCTAAGTCCATATCTCCCAACATCAACCAAAGGCTAAGTTACCCATTAACCCGCCCGCTCGAATCAAGCCCGTCCGTTCTAACCCGCACGATCCTATGAAAAACCTCCCGAACCAAACGTTCAAGCGGGTCCAAACCTTCCTTAATCCCCTCGTACACCAAACCAACCTCCCGAACCCTCGACCGAACCTCCCTCTCTTTCTCCTCTCTCAACGGGAAATCCACAAAATCGGTCATCTCATTCATCAACCTAGCACACTTCTCCACGTCCCGAATCTCCCTCAGAAGCCCACACGTGTTCCTCCGCTCCCTCCTTTTCGACTCCTCCAAAATCCTCTCGTGCAGCAAGAGAATCGGGCCGGCCCACACAAACTGCCTCCCCACGTAAAAATGGGCCTGCAGCCCGCGATCCTGGCATGGGATAGCAGCCACTAGGGCCCACATCACGAACAAGAGAACGTAGTTCATTGTGAATACAGCCACATTGAGCCCGCCGGTCGAGGCAGTCTCGTTTGGGCGGGGGGCAACCAAATTATTCCCGATTGCCTGCAGCTGCCGGGCAGCTGACCAAGATCTTGAAACGCTCCACGAAAGGGACCTGAAATGGCCCAACTGGTTCGATGATTTGGGCTCCTTTTGCTGGTGGCGACCAAACGATCGGTTCCTGTGGGAATTCGAATTCGGGTTGGATGATGATTCTTTTTCGTCTATCATCGAG